TTCGTTTCGATAGACCTCAAATCTTGGCGAAAGAAAACCGATATCGCCCTAGAATGATTCGAGAAGCCATAGAAATTAAAAAACATCCAAATTTCAATAGGGAAGATGGCTGGGTACTACCATCGTCATGGGATCCTGTTATTAATATAATAAAATCAAATAATAAATATAAACATAACAGACAAGCAGATGTAGTAAGTTCATACTGTGTAGATCAAAATGACAGCTTATCAGATTGATATTTTTCATTTTTCATTTGTAAAAGTATATATTAATAGTGTTGCTTAGTAAGTTGTTTTTAAATAATAGCAAACTAAATTAAAATTATAATCCTTAATTAATTTTAACTTTTTAAATTACACATTGAACAATTATATGGCTTAAATAATTAATACTATATTTTATATTTTTCTTTATGGTTATAAATATAATAATGGCAACACTAAATATAGATTACTAATTAATATTTTTAAAATTGTAATAATTATAAAAATAATAGCAAAAATTAAATAAATAATTTTCCATATTCAATTATAATTAAAATTATAAAAATGTTTAAAGTTAAAATATTGTAATGTAATTGGTGCAATTTCAATTGTTGATTGTGGGTAGGCTGTCTGTAACAACTATATCTTTAAGACATGTAACACCTCAGTCTCTCCCGTGACCATGGATGCTGTAAAGCATTCGAAACGTCGGGAACCAAAAATCAAAATAAATCCGCGAAATAATCCGAAAAGATAGTTTTATTTAATAATTGATACTGGGTTTTAATTTTATCAGTCTATCTTTAATGTTATTGAAAAAAAAAATTATATACACATTTTTTTTAATTCTTTATCTATGATAGATTTTTTTATTTCATAATTGATGAAGTGAATATATTTTTTTACATTTTTATTTATTAATAAATTACTAAGTAGAAACGGCTGTACCGATTTTGATAGTTTTCCAAATTATCACATAAGTTTCAATATATTCATTAAATTGATTTTACATATAATCTTTTACAATAAGTATGTATCTTAAGATTTTTAATTAAGGACAAGTCTTTTTAAATTACCCTTTTTTTAATTTTTTTTAAATAACGCCATCTATTGATGATTTTGTTCTTATTTTATAAGTTTTTTAATTGGTAAAGTTTTGCAAGTTACAATATTTTTATATTTCATAGTAAAAATGGTACCAATAAATAAATATATAATATTTTTCCCATAAATTGCTAACATTTGTAACAAAACAAAATATATGCAAATATTTTCAACATGGAAGTGTCACATGGTCAACTTCCTAAATTCCGGCAGTACTAAGAATTTCGTAAACACAAAAACGTAATAAGTCTAATCTGAGCTGGGACTCAAACCCAGGTCCCTCGGACCAACGAGACAATCATCACAATCTAAGATCTCTATAGCTATACAATATTTTATTTAGGTGACAAAATTTTTCGAAATATGCCAAAATATGTCTAATGGATACAAAACGAATAATATTTTGGTGACGATGGGTGAAGATTTTCAGTATCAAGACGCTGCAATGTGGTTTATTAATTTGGACAAATTGATTCAGTGAGTTGCATGCATATGCGTGTTTATTGCATGCGTGCATGTAAAGGCAGTGGAATAAATCATAATTAGTGATGCATAATTCTAATAATTATTTATTTATTATTTATTAGGGATGCAAACAATGAGATGGTACTTATAAGATACCTACTAATATACATTAATAGGTACATACATCAGCTAAGTTTCCACTGATAGTAATTACATGAACACTAACTTTAACAAATACAAAGCAAATACAGTTCAGCATAGATACCTATATAAAAACAGATAATTAACAAAAAACAAACCCAAAGCTAAAGTTATATGAGACTAGCATTGCCCGCGGCTCCGCCCGCGTTCAGATGACCAAAAACCATTTTTTTGTATTTTTTTCAGAAATGAGATATTTTCTCGCGGTAAAAAGTATCCTATATGTTGACCCGGATAACCAGCTATCATCATACCAAATTTTATCAAAATCTGTCCAGTGGTTTTCTCGTGATGCACACCCAGACAGACAGACAAAAATTCGACCTCTGTATCGATAATAATGAATATTTCAATAAGATTTTCAAAAAAATATTTAATGTACAGATTCGGCTTAGTTACAATTTTATTATATGTATAGATGTGATAATTTTAAACAATATATATAAACTGAATAGGGCATAACATCAAATGTGGATGCAGTGATATATGTATTATGTACATAAAACAAATGAGAAGAATATGGGTACAGGTGAAAATTTATTGAAAAAAAAGAAAGAACGCTTTACTCGGTTTTTCAAACGCGAGTATTACCACGGGCTACCCCTGCCCTTAAAATATTTTTTTTTATATATATTTATTTGATAATATCAACAGCATAGAGATTACAAAATAGTGTGCAGATAATAATGAAATCCTATGGTATGTGTAACTCAACTTATGGTGACTTCGCAGTAGGTATATAGATATGGTTACGAATTACAGTGATAATTTTGAAACAAACTAGCGTATACCCCCAACTCCTTTCGCGTGTGTGAAGTGAAAAATAATGAACTAATAACAATCACATCTGACATCGAAGAATATATTTAAAATAACGTTTTTTTTTTAAATTTCACTTTTCTGTCGTTACGTCGTTACTGAACCGCTGTAAGTTTTCATTTTAGCATATTTTAAATAAATATTGTTAAAAATATGGCGAATAATTCATTAATTTCAATTGAGAAGTTCAAAACAGAAATAATTGGGCAAGTTAGAGTTTTGCAGATAAAGCTTACAACATAAAGATTTATATGATTGCATACTGAAGGAGTCATTATCTAGTGATTTCTAATCAATGAAGCAATACGTCAAGTAACAAATACTAAACAAATATGGAACAGATTATCGAAGGCATTCTACGATAGTGGATTATGTCGCAAACTTGGATTACTAAAAGATCTTACCAATATCAAATTTAGAAAACAATTTATTGGTAAAAAAATAATGTCTGCAGCACACAAGTTAATAAGGAATATAAAATTTAATGTCTTGGGCGTCTTAAATAGGTGCCAGCAGTGCCCAGACACAGGAGGCGCAAACCCTGGAACGGCGCAGACACGACCAGACGAAGACCATGTTTTGAGTCACACTATATTACAAAACATTAAAATTTGTTATATATATATATATATATATATATATATATATATATATATATATATAAACTGATTAGGGCATAACATCAAATGTGGATGCAGTGATATATGTATTATGTACATAAAACAAATGAGAAGAATATGGGTACAGATGAAAATTTATTGAAAGTAAAAGAAAGAACGCTTCACTCGGTTTTCCAAACGCGAGTATTACCACGGGCTACCCCTGCCCTTAAAATATTTTTTTATATATATTTATTTGATAATATCAACAGCATAGAGATTACAAAATAGTTTGTAGATAATACTGAAATTCTATGGTATGTGTAACTCAACTTAAGGTGACTTCGCACTATATAGATTTGGTTACGAATGACAGTAACAGTTTTCAACTAAACTAGCATACACCCGCAATTCCTTTCGCGTGATTTATTTATTTATAAGTGACTTATCCTCGCTCTTTCTATCTATTGATGGAAACCGTATGAAAATCAGTACAGTAGTTTCTGAGATTATCCCGAAGAAACACGAAAGTCAGCGTGGCGTGGGATGTGAGGGTGATAGCGTAATGTTCGATAGCCTGTAACATACCTCAATAATAATCTTTATTTTATATATATAATTCTTCTGTGAGTGTGTATGTCACTGAACTTCTCTCAAACGACTGGACCGATTTTGATGAAATTTTTTGTGTGTGTTCAAGGGGATCTAGGAATGGTTTAGATTCACAATTTGAATAATAATTTTCATCAAAATGGTCCAGAATGTTTTAGGTTATTAAAAAAAGTTTGAAATTTTCAAATTAAAGACGTGTAGACAGGACAAACTCTGTCGGGTCCGCTAGTAGGTTATAAAATAGCAAAACTTTTTTCAAGTCGGACTAGTTTAAGAGTAAAGCATAAAAAATCCAAGCTTTATAGATTAATCTACTCATATAATATATGTAGGCTTCTACCTATTTAAAAAATAATGAACACATCAAAGTCACATCTGAAATCAATGAATATATTTAAAATAACGTTTTTTTTTTATAATTTCTCTTTTCTGTCGTTACGTCGTTACTGAACCGCTATAAGTTTTCATTTTAGCATATTTTAAATAAATATTGTTAAAAATATGGCGAGTAATTCATTAATTTCAATTGAGAAGCTCAAAACAGAAATAATTGGGCAAGTTGGAGTTTTGCAGATAAAGCTTACAACATAAAGATTTATATGATTGCATACTGAAGGAGTCATTATCTAGTGATTTCTAATCAATGAAGCAATACATCAAGTAACAAATACTAAACAAATATGGAACAGATTATCGAAGGCATTCTACGATAGTGGATTATGTCGCAAACTTGGATTACTAAAAGATCTTATCAATACCAAATAAACAATTTATTGGTAAAAAATAATGTCTGCAGCACACAAGTTAATAAGGAATATAAAATTTAATGTCTAAGTACAGTGCCGTAAATAGAGCGGTGCCAGCAGTGCCCAGGCACAGGGGGCGCAAACCCTGGAACGGCGCAGACACGACCAGACCAAGACCATGTTTTGAGTCACACTATATTACAAAACACATTACAATTGGTTATATATATATGTATGTCACAAACACAAAAAAAATATCAAAATTGAGTAACTTTAGTTCACTTTCTTTAAGAAAAATGATCATTACCTATTCAAATTTTTAATTATCTAAAATTATATTTATTATAAACAAATATGTGACATTTATATAAATCAAGTACTGTGATATCCATTTAATTGTACAAAAAATGATAAAACTTTAAAGTATTTTTAGTCAAAATTGTGATAAATATAAACTTTTGCAATAGGTATCATCATTTTTCGAGAGAATCTCTCAAATGTCGACCGCGTATAGAACAAATAACGTGTTGGTGACAATGGGAGATGACTTCCATTACCAGAATGCTGGCATGTGGTTTAGGAATCTCGACAAATTGATATCGTAAGTTTAAAATAATATTTTTTTATATACGGAGATGTACAATTTCGCACATTTTATTTATCCCATATGGCGGGCACGAGATAGTTAACACATTCTGGTTCATTCATCCTGGTGACAGATAAACACAAAAAAATCTAAATACTTCTCATTTTACATTCACTATTAATCTCAAACTTAAAACGTCAAAATTTTAAAATTAATAGGATAAGATATAAAAGTTAAAAATATTAAAAAAAAACATGATTGTGAAGAAAAACATTCTAAACTTTTAAAAAAGTACTAAAATACAAAGCTTAATATTAAAACAATAGTGGGATTTGCACGTGGCTTTTGTTGCGTGTTTTGAATAAAATTGCTTTAAAAAGTAGTTATTCCAACCTTTGTGTTGGTGAAATTTCTTTTAACATTTAATTACCGCCTTTGAAGCATAAAAAAAGGAACTATGGTAATCGATTTATTATTGTGAAAATAAAATACATTTAAATTAAACACCTATGTTTTGAAGTCGGTTAAAAATAGCACGTGTAGCTAAATAATATTCTTTAATGAAAGAATTTTTAGAATAGCTTATAACAAACAAAATTTTTACCTATTAATAATAGGGTAATAAATATAAGGTAAAGGTAAAATAAGGTAACTTACAATTATACCAATTATTGTAAACGTCGAAAAAAAATAGATGGCGTTGTTTAAAAATATAAAAATATAGATAAAATAAATCTTTCGACAATCTTTTATATTTTTATTTGATAGGTAAACTATTTCATCACCTATGTACTAAACCAAGCGAAGCATTACCGCAGTAATAACACTATAGTGACTATGGGCGGGGACTTTACCTATCAAGATGCTGCAATGTGGTATAAAAACCTCGATAAATTAATTGAGTGAGTTTTTTTTTTGTTATTTACACCAAAAAGTTTTTCCTCCTTTTTTGTTTTTCTATTATTTTCTCTAAGACTAAAATAAACGTGATATAATTTGTGTGGTACGAAACTTTCGACTCGAGCTTAAATATATATCTCTAATCTCTTTAAAAACTACAGTTTTTATAATATTTACATGTTTTATATAGTTTTAATGCAAGTTTTATAAAAAAAACTAAATACTAAAAAAAACATTATGTGATACGGAACTCTCGGTGCGAGACTCGAACTTGTCCTAATTTTATTTACGACCCATTAATAAACATGGCTTCTATGTATTTTTCTATAGTAATTCCTAATTTTTTTAAATATATTTTATTTAGTTATGCATATGCATGCAGTATGTTTTATTAAAGTTCACATTAAATACTTATAATTAGAGCATTATCATTTTTTTACGAATTTGCATGTTTTCATTTAATTTGTCTATTTAGAATTTTTAACTTTTCTGCATTTGATATAATACATGCATGTTTACTAAAAAAAAAATTAACATAATTGGTACCTAGTCTTAAATCTTTTTTACAACATTAATATTTTAAAGAATTTTAAAGGTAAGTTTTATTGTTGGTTTAAAGATACACGTACGAGTAGGTGTCATATTTTGTAATAGAATTTGAAGTTACAGTTCTTATTCCATTATGTATCAATAAAAAATAAAAATATAATGCCGTTCATTATTTTGAACGGCTGGACCGAAGTGGTTATTTTAATTGGCCGGAAATTTGTGAAATTGGTATAGGATATTAGTTACAAAAAAATCAAATTATAATAATTGCAGATATGCAAACATGAAATCTGCAAAAGATGGACTCAACATAAAGCTATTCTACTCCACACCGAATTGTTATTTGAAGGCTGTGAAAGATTCTAAGTAAGTACTTAATAAAATTACATTTATATATATTTTTTTGTAATTATATTTACAATTAGCTAGAGAAAGTCAATAGTTATTTTTTAATAATAGTTGTTCTACATCTGCGAAGTATCCCATAAGTTTATATTACGTAATTTTAAGCAATAGATTACCTCAAACCGAAATCGAACTCCGATTCACAATAATATATACCCTTTCAGCCCAACATTACCTACAAAGCAAGACGATTTCTTCCCATACGCGAGTGATCCTACTGCGTACTGGACGGGATATTTCACCTCTCGACCTACCACTAAGTATTTTGAGAGGCAGGGTAACGCGTATCTACAGGTAAGTTTCAATTATTACCTGTACAAAGTATTTTTTATTTCCTGCACAGGGTAATTTTCAATTATAAAGATAAATAGGTAAGTTTCAATTATATACTTATAAGGTAACTTTGAATCATGCTATTATAATAAATGCGACAGAACATACGTATGTGTTTTAACTTGTATACATCATAACGAAAAAACTCGTTGAGCTTTTTAATAGGTTATTCGGGGCTAAGGCGGTTTTTCTTCTAAGTAGTAGATTTTTAGTGGATCCTTGATTTTAATTATACTTACCCTTGCTTTGCTCGGGTCCCTAGATGCTTAACAGTCTATGTACTTACTACTCCAGCTCATAGTCTATCTCTGTATAAATATTATACTGTAAAAATTTCATACAAATCCATTCAACCGTCTCAGCGTGAAGGAGTCGCACACACACATACACAAAGTTTCGCATTTGAATTACAGTCCGATTTACCGTGTACAGGATTCAAAATTTTGACTTTAAATAATAGTGTTGTTTATAAAACTGTATTATAAATTATAATTAATATTACAATTCAAATGTTGTTTTAGCGCCTCTTGATATTTACGGACAATGTTTATTTTCTTATAACTTTCTATCGTAAATTATTTTTTCTTCTAACGGCGTTTTCTCTCTGTAAAATTATCTCGAATAAATCATTACGTTTCTGCAGTAAATACGTCACTTTTTACACATTTTGACGGCACGTTTAGCTCAGTTTGTAGTGACCCTACTTGCTGTGCCAGCGGTCGCGGGTTCTAGTCCCGCTGGGGACATTTATTTGTGTGATGAGCACGAATGCTTGTACTCTAGTCATGGGTGTTTATATTTATAATATGTATGTATTTAAAGTTATATATGTGTAGTGTAACAACTATCTGGTATCCATAACACAGGCCTCGTAGCTTACCATGGAACTAGATGGTGCTGTGTACCAACATATTTATTTATTTATTTACCCTAAATCTGTTAATTCATATGCAAGTATTCTCCTTAAATAAAAATTTGTTTGCAGATGGCAAAAAATCTGCAAGTGCTGGGGGATCTCCCGGAGCATAATAAATTTGTTTTGAATGAACTCAAAAGTGCTATGGGTATGAAATATGTTTTTTTAGATTAACAAAAAATCTGGTACGATGGTTTTTTTAATAAATGATGATAGTTTTTAGTATCTTCATTTATCTAATTAAAAAAACTGGTGACGTAAATGATCATTTACAGCAAAAATATACTAATTCTATATATGTATTACCTCTTCTAGACGCTTTTGTTAGACTGTATGGGTTATTAGGTGTGGTGTTATAATATAACTGCCTCAGTGGTCTAGTGGAAAGCATGTACGGTTGCAGATCCTGGGTTCGAGTCCCGGGTCAGGTCAAGTTTATTGTTTGATTACTGAGTTTGATATTGATTACTGAGTTTTTCTGTTAAGATATTCTTAGTAACAGCCCGGTGTCGGAAAGTTGGCGGTATGTCGCGTCCCTCCTGCGCCTTAACTCTCACTGGTCGTGTCAAATTATCATCTCATCGAAATTTGAAAGTGAGAGGTACAGAGAGTGCACATTGTGTTTCTCTTTCCGCCATACACTGCACTATAATATCTCGAGCTGTTGGCTAGTTTCAATGAGATTGGTCACCGCGGCCGAAATTCAATCGGGATCAAAAAATCGGGAGGACATTATTATTATTATTCCTAATGCATGATGGTACAGGAGTGATGCAGCATCACGACGCCGTGACGGGAACGGAGAAGCAACACGTGGCGGACGACTACGTGCGGATGCTGGATGCTGCGGTCGAGAACTCTCTTCTCATCGCCAGACAGGCTTTTAGGTGAGGGTTCTCTCTATTTTATGTAATCAGGCCTTTTTAACGTCCCACTGCTGGGGGCCTAAGCTTCATTCAATTATATCAAACATTCGGTGTCATTTCTTTTTTAACCCAAACCACTATGATCTGACTGAAATAAAGCTTGAGTTAAGATTTCTTGATTAGTTAGTCAGTGAGTGAGTGATATTCAAACGTATAGAGAGTTTTCATTGCGAGATTTAAAGATTTCCGGGATAAAAACTATTCTAGGCTCTCAAACTATCTCCATACCAAATTCCATATAAATCGGTTCAGCGGATTAAGCGTGAAAAGGTAACAGACAGACAGACATAAAGAGTTACTTCCACATTAATAATATTAGTATGGATTTAGTCCATAAATTCCTATATTAACCGGAAAATTTCACACTTCCAACTCACACTTGACCATTTCCACAGCAAGCTATCACAAGGCGATGCTCTAAAGCCGGCAATATTTAGCTACGACCGTTGTAGCTTCAACGAGTCTAGTTGTCCAACAAGCGAGAACAGCAGACAGTTCGTGGTATGTTTTTTTTAATTATTAACCAACTTTAAAAAAAGTGTATTGAAATTTGTTATTTTTTCATGTTTTTGGGGTTCTATACCTCAAAAGGAAACAAAGAACCCCTTATCTTTGTTGTCTGTCTATCTGTCAAGACTCGTTTTCTCAGAAACGCGTGGAGATGTGAAGTTGAAATTAATATGAAAACCTCAGTTCTGCAATCCCTTGGAGCTGTTAAAAAATAAAACTTCTAAATCTATATAGTATATTTTAACACTAGCAAGGAAATCAAAACCTATAGGGTATACGCTAGAAGTAATTTGTTTTTCCTTTTTTTGTTTACATTAACTTGAATATGTACGCCTGATATGGGAAGGCACTAGCTCCTGAAACACAGTTTCTAGTTCAGGAGTTAGGGCTGTGTGCATTTGTTACCATTGTTATTTGAATGAAGCCTGTTTTTTATACTCTTAAATAGTCAAACCTACAACCCGTTGACTTAGAACCATGATATTTGGAAAGATCTTATAGTGCAAGTAAGGGGAAAAAGCCGAAAACCGTAAAGTAAGATTAATCATGCGTGTGTGTATGTATGTCTCCGACTGCATAATACTATGTTCCTTCGACAACTTGTTATCTTCTTTTAAGTTCGTTTTTTGACACAGTCGGGGTTTTTTTTTTTGTAAATTATTTTTTTATTAAAGTAAAACGTGCATTTTGTACAAATAAGACATTTAAAACTCAGTAATTTTGTTTCTAAACACTCGATAAATTACGGTCGTTTGGAGCAAATGAGCACTGAGAATACGACTTTAGCAGTGAATTTTTTTTTCAATTATTGTTCTTCTTTATTATTACAGGTAACTATTTACAATCCCGTGGGATGGAACGTTCTAGAACCAATCCGGATTCCCGTCAAAAAGGGAATATATGAAGTGTATGCTCCCAATGGTAATATAATTTCATCTATCATCATCTATCTCTATCTCTTCTATTATCATCTATCTCTATCTCTTCTGTTATCATCTATATCTGTATCTTCTATAATCATGTGTGTTTGACGACACGTTTGGCTCAGTTTGTAGCGACTCTACTTGCTGTACCAGCGGTCGCGGGTTCGAGTCCCGCTGGCTGCATGCATTTGTGTGAATTAGTTAAGATATAACGAGAAAATAATTTCTTTTTAATTAACAGGCGATAAAATATCATCACAGTTGGTAACAATCCCTGAACCTGTTCTAAATATTCCCACACGAAATTCTGAAGCTACACACGAAATAGTTTTCATTGCGAAATTACACCCACTTGGTATAAAATCGTTTTACATAAAAAAAATAAGTCCAAAAACCAAAAGAAACGCCGAAATAAAAAGGAAAAATGATTACTACGGTAATATAAATGATTACTGGAAAAATATTCACCAACAAACCGATATAGAGATACGTAATATAGAAAATGAGGAGGAAAATAGGGAATTCGAGGAAAAGATTCCCTTCCCAATGATTATTGGGAATATGGAAAAGATAATTATAGATAAGACAGATATAAATATGCTGAAAGATAAACAAGATTTACCTGTCGGTGTGGAGGAGTTAGAAAGATTGGTGGGTGAAGGTAATAATCTATTGAAAGGTAACAGATATTTAGGTAAAAATGAAAATTACCCAATTTTGAATGAAGAAGAAATGAGAATGTTGTCGGATGAACCGCAACTTGTGGAGCGTCCGGATGAATATTACGTGGAGAATGAGGTAATAATATATTTATTTTTTTAATTTAAGATTTTAATGTTTGTTTGTTTAAACATTGATTGATTTTTATCATCTTAAAACCCTAAACCATAATTAAAAAAAATTTTTTAGGGTCGTTCAAAATTGATTCTGTCATTTCAATAAGCTTTACATGTTTTATTTTATTTTGAGCTTAAAAAAAGAAAGAACTTAATTCACACAAATCCTATAGAAAAAAGAGATCGAGTTTATTCGGAAAATATTTCGAGATGAAAATTTGGGATTATATGATTTTTTATGTTTAACACTAAAATAAACACAGAAATATTTTTGGTCAAAAATTTTAAAACAGTATTTGGCACTCGACAATAACTAAGCATGATATGTTTGATAAACCCCTTATATCCTTATACCTTTTAAAAAAATATCGAAATCGATCCAGCCGTTTCTAAACGAATAGTATTTCATTTTTAATTGCTGTAAATTACAAACTTATTATTAACTGATTACTTATTATTATTAATTTTTGAGCGGAACCCTAATTCTTTTTCTGAAATTAAAGTAGCTTAAGTTACTCTTTATAACATCAGCTATCTGCCAGTGAAAGTACCATCAAAATCAGTCTAGCTGTTTCGGAGGTTCGCCGTAACAAACAGACAGACAAAAATTTAAAAAATTGTGTTTTTTATATACATTCATATGTATTTAGTATAAAGCTGTTATTTTGACATTACACACAGACAGTTCAATTTTATTTATCTGTATAGATAATATAATTATTAGAATAAAACTATCTTTACACATTTTATCACCGATTTATTTTGACTTTTGGTACAAAATAAATCAGCATTAAAAAGATTGTTTTATTTAAAATGTCAAATATTCGCGTAAATCTAAGAAAGTATTAATTGTTACAGTACTTAAAACTGAGAGTCGATAATTCAACTGGTCACGTGACACACATGTTGCTCCCAGACAGGACTACCAACATGAGAATACAAATGAATTATTGGACAGGTTTCATTGGCGACAATATGGAACCAGCTCACAGATCGTCTGGCGCTTATATTTTTAGACCAAAAACAACCATCCCATATCCCTTAAACTACAAAACAAACACTAACATTCACGGTGACATCGTTCAGGAGATTAGAGCAGACACACACGAACATGCCTCAAGCTGCCTGAGAATTTACAAAGGCTTGAACTATTTTGAGCATGATTTTGTGATTGGACCAATCGATATTCAAGATGGCGAAGGAAAAGAGTACACAGTCAGATATGAGACCAATGTTGCTAATAGAGGCATCTTCTTCACCGATTCAAATGGCAGACAGATGTTAAAGCGTACATTAAACCAACGTCCTCAATACAATGTAACATTAAGAGAACCGATCGCTGGTAATTATTATCCTGTTACTAACGAAATTTATATCCAGGATGATAATACCAGGATAGTGATTTTGACTGACCGTTCTCAAGGAGGGTCTTCTTTGGAAGAAGGCAGTATTGAGCTGATGCTGCACAGACGTTTGTTGCATGATGACGCCTTCGGTGTTGGAGAAGCATTGAATGAAACCGCCAAAAATGCGGGCTTAGTTGTCAGAGGGAGGCACAGATTGTTAAATATCAGTCCTGGTACCAATGAGGTTTTAATTGAAAGGAAAATGGCGATACAAATGCATTTGTCGCCAATTGTTTTTGTGTCGAATGCGGATGATGTAACATATGAGACGTGGATAAAATTAAATAATTGTTTTAAAGGCTTGAAAGTGTTGCCAGATGGTGTACATTTGCTGACTTTGGAGCCTTGGTCGAGTGATAAAACTTTGCTTTTGAGAATAGAAAATTATTTGGACAAATCTATGGAAAATTCAACGGTGGACGTCGATTTAGGGGATATTTTTAATAATTTGAAAATTTTATCCGTCAGAGAGACTAATTTAGCCGCGAATCAGTGGTTGGAAAATATGACAAAGTGGGAATGGAAAACTGAAAATGATTTTTCCAATAATTCCAATAACTATGATAATGTTAATAACAATGAAAAAGTTTTTGGGAAAATGGGTAACGATTTGAAAATTCAAGTGAAGGCGAAACAAATAAGAACTTTCTTAGCTAAATATGAAAATATGGAATGAAATTTATAATCATTAAGTATGTAAGATGGGTTTAATAAAATATTTTTTAATATATATTGTTTTTTTTTAAACAATTTACTAAAAGGAGCATGCTTTTGATTGAATATATAATTAGCAGAACCCGCGGCTTCGCCCGTGTTCAATCTTCAATAATAACTTTTTGGCTTTATGTTTTGTATATATAATATTGTTCATACAAAAATACTAAAATGGCGATAAAAAAATGCGGGTTGGAGGTAGGAGGGTAAAAAATACTTTACTGCCTATTCTCATACCTACCAAATATACAAAAAAATCATTAAAATCGGTAGAGCCATTTCGGAGGAGTGCAACCACAAACAACGATACTCGATATATTTATATATCCGTATAATGATATTATAAATGTGAGTTTGTGAGTATGTATGGATGTTTGTTACTCAATTACGCCAGAACGACTGAACGGATCTGGATGAAATTTGGCACAAAGATAGATTATAGTCCGGAATAGCACATGAGCATCTATACTAGTATGAAATTATTTTTGAAGTGAAAACTTGTATAGGCAGGTTTGTTTGTATGGGGAGAAAATTCATGTGAGTCGTCATCGACACGGTCACGTGACGTGTTAACGCTAACACTCAGAGTGCCGATAGATAATAATAATATAATAATAATAATACCTTTATTGACGTAAATACAAAAGGGTTACAAGACATTTATTTTTAAACTATATAATTAGCACAATCTTTGTTTAGGTATACTAACGTCTGAACTAGGCCGAGCCTGTATCTCAGACGCTAGCCTCTTCCTATTACACAATTTGTTTATTGCTAATAAGTTAAATGTAACATAATACTAAAAATATATATGATATACAATGTGAACAATTTCGAGATACATCAGCGTAGGTACTTATTTAATTTACTAAAACCATCTACCGTCATTGTGTAATTTTTAGTTATTATTGAAGTTAGACCACTAAAGCTATGAGTTTAAGCATTAAGAAAAATATGTATATTGTTTAATTATTTTACGTAAGATTTTTTTTTTAACTTTTTCTATTGATTTTTTTTATATGATATATTTTGAACCAGTTTTATATTATTTGTAGATGTTCATTTGTAAATAATTTGAATAATAAATTTGTATAATTTATATCATTCATGGTTGTTTATTTGGAAATATTTAGGTATATTTTACATTTTTATAGTTGTATATGTATAAATATTTAGGCATATTTTTATTATTTGTAGTTTTCTGTATTTAGGTACCTATATATTATATCTTTTTAGTTGTTTATTTGTAAAAATTTAGGTATGTACTCGTATATGTGATTTAGCAAACTAGTTTAAATTTAACTCTTTGTTTTAAATTTTGTTAACAATCATTTATTATTTTTGATTATTATGATCAAGGTCATTATTAATATATATGAAGATTTTTACTGTTTTGTAGGAATTTTTAAAGACTCGGTAATATAACAGAAAAAAAAGCACTTATTTTATTATTTCAATTAATTTCTCAGTTTCTTCGTAATTTTTATTTTGTAACCAGGCTACCAAGATCTTCTTACATTGATATTTATTTTTTGAATAGATATTTAAAATTTGGTTGATTTTATTGTATAAGATAGGACCCAGAAAGCACTGATATTTATTAATAAAAGCAGTATTGAACTTGGTCGTTGCACAGACCCTGTTTTGACGTCTACTTGCATTGTTATAATTATATGGTGATTTCTCATGTTGAGATAGTATTAAATTAACAATGAATAATTGTCGAACTGTTAGCACGCCACATTCTGCGTATAAATTAGATGTAGGATATCTATAAGGTTTAAATTTTATCACTTTTAGCAGGGACCTCTGAGCTCTCTCAAGTTTTATCATATACGTTTTCCGTGCTGCACCCCATGATGTAATGCAGTAATTTAGGATGGACTGGGAAAGTGCAAGATAGATAGTCTTAAGCAAATCAGGATCAGCAGTATGTCTTAACTTCTTGAATATGTATATAAGTTTTCTTGTTTTTTTCTATAAGATGGCTAATATGAGGGCGCCAAGATAATTTTTCATCTAAAAGTACTCCTAGATATTTTATAGTTTGGGTTCTTTCTAAAGTATCACATTCGCAATGGATCTTCCTTTCAGTTTCGTAAAGACATGAATTGGTGTGAATTTGCATATTGAAACTTGATGGTAAAATACGTTCTGAGTTAGTAAAAAGTAAATATTTTGTTTTAACTGTATTAAGTGTCAATAAATTATCATTAAGCCAATTAAAAATGATGTTTAATCCATTTTCTGCATGCATTTTCGCGATTTCCCAATTTTCTCCAAGAAAAACAAGAGCAGTATCATCTGCAAATGTAAATATTTTGCAATTTATTAACCGCAAATTGCATAAATTATTTATGTAAATTAAGAAAAGTGTTGGCCCCAAGACACTTCCCTGGGGGACTCCGTAGTTGATACCATTGTCACTGCTATAAGAACCATTTATAGTAACCCTCTGAGAACGATTTCTCAAATAATCAGTGAAAAGTTGCAGCACTGTTCCACGGATACCTATTTGCTCCATTTTTTCCAACAGTCTAGGAATACAAACAGTGTCGAAGGCCTTTGTAAGATCTAAGAACACCCCTACACATTTAGTTTTTTTATCTATATTAGTCACTATAAATTCTACAAGATTAGAAACTGCATGTGCTGTTGATTTACCTGCTCTAAATCCAAATTGGTTATCTGATAATATGTTTTCTTTTTCCAAATATGATATCAGCCTCTTGTTAATAATCTTCTCTAAAATTTTGGAAAGTGCTGGAAGTACCGAAATTGGACGATAATTACTGACACAATTTTTGTTCCCAGTCTTATAAATAGGATGTATAATAGATATTTTAAAGATTGTAGGAAAAACACCCGTAAGAAAGCAGAGATTTACGATGTGTGTCAGTATGGGTACTATAATGTCTCTTGCAAGTTTTAGTAATTTAGTAGGTATTCCATCCCATCCAAGCGCGCTATCAGTTTTTAAATTCATTAAGGTGGCATTAATTTCTTGATTTGATGTTTCAAAAAGGGCCATAGAGCTAGTTGGTACGAACTGGGTTTCATATTGGTAAGAATGGATGTTATTATTTTGAGATAGAATTGTATTTGCCAGTTCCGCTGCAATTCCAGAATAAAAATCATTTATTTTATCTAAAGCTGCTTCGGGAGTATTAGCTATTTTAAGAAGTTCATTAGCAGGATTGATTTTATGATTTCTGTTTGCTATAGAATCAATTATTTTCCACTTCTTCTTCGGATCTTTAGCATATTTCTTCAATTCATTACTTTCATAATTTCTTTTCAAACGTTTTAATAGATCATTACAAAAAATTTTGTACCTTACATATGTTATCTTAATTATTTCATTTTGTGGTTCTTTTTTACACTTTAAATTCATACGATCACGAGTCCTAATACAACGGACTAATCCCGGTGTGATCCACGGCTTAATACAACGTATATTTCTAGGTGATAGAATTGTTAATGAATGTTTTTGAGTCAACATTTTCAAAGTTGATACCAATTGCTCAGAGCACCAATTAGCATCTTGCGATTTAAATATGTTATCAAAATTTGTTGTTTTAAGCTCCTCAATAATAGAATCATAGTTTATTTTGTGAATTTTATTTGAGTTAGTAATTCGCATATCAGATTTATGCTTGAAATTAATACAAGTAAGAACAGCAGAGTGATCAGTTAATGGTGCCGCCATCACAATGGTAACAGCTGGGAAATTTGATTTAATCATCGCATGATCTATACAATTATTAGCTCTGGTCAGATGTTGATGGCCAGCTAGCAAGCCATGACTAGCTAGTAGGTTTAAATAGTCAGCTGAATTATTGTCCATATTATTAATCTTAATATCAATGTTTAGGTCACCCTTTAAAATTATATTTTCAAATTTATTTAAAGAATTTAGTAATATATCTAAGGAATTCATGAAATTATCTATATTTCTATGAGATGGGGATCTGTAGATACCGATAACAGCAGTTTTTTGATCAATTTTTATAACTAAACACGCATCATTAAGATGAACTTCTTCGACAGAGCAATTAATGTTTCGTTTTATATAAATAACAATACCATCATTTTGGTTAATATTATTTTTAGTGTAATGAGTTTCGTAATTGTTTAAGGATGGATAATTAGGAACTATTGAATTCCATGACTCTGTAAGTATATATATTTCACAATTTATATCTAATCTATTTAAAAGAATTTCAAATTCATTAAAATTTTTATTAATGCTTCGAATATTTTGTACGAGGATTTTAAAGTAGGTATTAATGGATTCCTGCATTATAAGTGTCTTACAAGATTCGGGTAGGCATAGAAAAGAAGAACCAACTTTGACGTTATCTAGAGTATTTGTAAGAATCTGATTATTTATGTGATCGAATTTTAATTTTATTACAACAATGACTTAAAGTATGACATGAATGAATTTTAAATATGTACAACTTAAAATTCATAGTTAAATATTTACGCTGATTACTGATTATGAGATGAATAAGACAAAGGCTACCAAAATAAAGTAAAGGTCGATTAAGTTTAAAAGCTGCAAGTACACACAAATAAGGTAATATTTTAATAAACAACAAAAAACAGTAGTAATACCTTTTTAAAGAGCAGAGAAAATAGCCGAGTGATATATCTAGTCATTTCTGATTTCTTAAGGTAGCTAATAATTCTTCATTCTTAACTTCTATGTGGGGAGAGTCAGGTGCTTTCCTCAAGAATATTTTACCATGAGTTGTCCAGCAGAACTTATATTGGTGAGATTTGGCAAAGTCTCTTGCTAAGAAAAATAGTCTGCGTCCCTTACTAGTAAGTGCTTCCGATACATATATTGGAGTTATTGGTCCTTGAAATCCAATTGTTGCCGTGGACAGTCGTTGTGTAGGATGATCTTTATTGTACTTTTTGGCAGCATTAATCACATCGTGTTTAGCAATGACAGTCGTTAGATCTGCAATGACTGTGTTTTTGCCCGATTTTCCGTTTAGTCGATACACATCCCGGATATTATTAGGTTGAATATTTACATCCAGAGCTTTACATGTATCTTGGACAATTTTACTTAGAGTAGCCTTTGATTCTGGTTGAGCAATAAATGGGATATTCCTCATTTCAATAGTCGATAGTTTTGAATTTCGTTCTATATCATCGAGTTTTAACTCTAAAGACGAAATTTGAAGTAAGTGCTGTTTGCGCTCAGCCTCTAGATTTTCTATCTTCTTTTTCATTTCTTCAAAATGAAAATTTAGAAACTCTAGTGATTTTTCTATCTCTTCGTTGGATTTCTTGATATCATTATTTTGTTGTTTTATAACAGATACCTCCGATACAAGCTTGCTTAACATTGAATTCTGTGTTTCTTTCCAACTTTCTATCATGTTTTTTATTTCGTCTTTAAAAGTCGAAAACTTTTCCTCGCTTGACTCTCGTGGTCTTTTGCTTCTTAGCGTAATATTCGATGACATTGGGGTACAGGGAATAATTGTTGAAATATCGGAATCCGAAGCTGTGTGCTTAAGACTATGTCCAGGAGGAGATCTTGCGATGGTAGACATTATTATAAAGGCACTTGGTACGAGTTCAAAGTTTTCGTAGTGAAACTCACCCACGGCTTACACAGGTTAATATTATAATTTCTTTGTTGTCCTAGTTTTACTTCAATATTTAAATTAGGATTATTTATTATTTTCTTGTAAATATCTAATAAATTAGTTGAACCAATTAGTAAAATATGTAAATATTAAATAATGATTGTATTTTTGAGTGCACACGTCTGCTTTCGTTCGCGTTTCGGGCGGAAGGTGTCGAAACCAGATAAATATAAACAATTTTAATTTACACATTTTAAATTAAGATCAAACAATTAATTTGAATATCCAAAAATAACAACTGTTTGTTTATAGTTTTTAGTTTTCACTTCTGTCGGCGGTCCTCGTGATTGCTTTTTTTTAATATATTAAATGTTCTTGTTCGAGTTTAATACATTTAAAGAGATATTGTGAATAAATAAAAAAAAAACAGCTAATTTTGGAAACAATTCATTTATTTATATGTAGTGTTTATAAATCACGTTATATTTAAAAAACCAAAGTTATTTTTTTAATGTAAAATTTTCTTATTTACAGAGCTCTTGATATCTATACATATAATAAAATTTTGAGTCGAATCTGTACATTAAATATTTTTTGGAAAATCTTATTCAAATAATCATTATTATCGATACAGAGGCCGAATCTATAGTTTTTTGAATTTTGGTCTGTCTGTTTGTCTGAGCACGCATCACGAAAAAACTACTGGACAGATTTGGATGAAATTTGGTATGATGATAGCTGATTATCCGGACCAACATATATGATATATTTTACTGCGGGAAAATATCTCATCTCTGAGAAATCTTTACTAAACGTTAAAATGTAACTTATTTGCGTAAGTATTATATAAAATTTAAACAATTTATATTATATGTTTGTTTGTGGACTTTAAATTGCCTAAAGAATTGCTTTAAAACAAATAAAATATTTTTTTTTATTTATGTGTCTATACATTTATTTAAACTAATTAATATAAATATGAAAGTATCCGTTTGTTTGTTACGTTTTTAAACTTAACTGCTGAATCAATTTTGATGGATTTTGGTATAGAGATAGATTGGATCTAAGAAAAGGACAAAGGCTACCTTTTGTCGAAAAATTAAACTTAAGGAGGGTGAAATAGGGGAAGAAAGAGTGTAAGGGAGAAAATAACATTTTTAGGGTTAGTTACCCAAGGGTGCCAACGGAACTCTATTACTAAGCCTCCGCTGTCCGTCCGTCCTTCTGTCAGAGATCTGTAGCTCATGAACAGTAATAGGTGGAGAGTTGAAATTTTCACAGTGTGTATTTCTATTGCCACTTTAACTGCAAACAATAAAAAAGCAAGATGGCGAATTTCAAAAAGGCTTCCATGGAAATTTAAAAAGAACGATTATGATACAGAACCCTTCGAGTGCGAGTCCGATTCGCACTTAACTGATTTTCAAGTTTTAACATAAGAGTGCTCGAGTAAAAAGTATTCTCTCAAACAAAATGTGAAAAATGAAAAAACAAACACTAAATTTTCATAATTTTTTGTTTGTTTGCCAAAATATTTCAATATTCTTCTTTACCAAACTAATTAAAATAAAAAAAAAACACTTTCCCTCTCTCTCTCCTTTTTTTTTGTCTCACTCTTATGAAAATCAATTTAAACACCACTCAAAATCAATACATACATACAAATAAATAAATAAACGTATATAAAATATAAAAATAATTCATTTATTTGTCTACAATAAACGATGTCAGTCTCTCGTCCGTAACCCCCATACAGATGTCCGCCTCGCGCCCACCGTGGGCCGCGCGATGGCGCTGCGAAAACAAATTAAATTATTATTTCATGGGTTTTAGTTTTTTCTAAAACTAAACAAAAATAAAAAAAACTAAAGCTATCTGCCAGTGAAAGTCCAGTCTTAAACGGGTTAACCGTTTCAGAGATTAGCCGAAACAAACAGACAGACAGATAAAAATTGTTTTTGAAGTTATACTTCTTTTGGCACGTTTGGAAAAAGTTACGAGAGTAAAATTTTGACGACATTTATCTGGTTTCGACATCTATCGGCACTCTGAGTGTTAGCGTCAACACGTCACGTGACCATGTCGATGACGACTCGCACGAACTTACTCCCCATCCAAACAAACCTGCCTATACAAGATTTCACTTCAATAATTAAAAGTGAACTCAAAAGTTCTAATGATCGCTCATTCGGTGAGGACATTTTTTGTCGCTGATTGTATATCTAGTACATTTTTGTTCGATGGTGTAATAGAATATATTACCTGAACATAAAATGATTGAGTTGTATGGCCGGCAGCGCGGCCCGCAGCGCGGCCAGCGAGGGCGCCTGCAGAGTTCCCCACACCTCCAGGTACTGCAGCGCCGGCAGGCACGACAGCTTGCTGCGGACCAGATACAATCCATGTAATCAACCCTTTATAACCCACTGCTGGGCGTGGGCCTCCCTTCAATACTCGGGGGATCAGGCTATAGTCTACCACGCTGGCCTAATGCAGGGTGAGCATGTCTCATAAACATGCTAGGTTCTCTCAGACATGCTGATGTCACGATGTGTTCCTTCACCGTAAGACAAGTGTGTGTTATGGACATCAGACAGTCGATACACTACACATATATAACTTTAAATACATACATATTATAAATATAAACACCCATGACTGCACAAACATTCGTGCTCATCACACAAACGAATACCCCCAGCGGGACTCAAACTCGCGACCGCTGTCACAGCATGTAGGGTCACTGCAAACTGAGCCAAACGTATCGTCAATCGATTATACATCGATATTTTACTTATTGGTATAATTGCACATAGTCTAATATATACGTCTATTTTAGATTTCATATGTTGTTATATGTTTAAGCCTAGTTATTAATGCAAGTAATGTACTTGTCCTCTTATCTATACATATAATAAAATTGTAACTAAGTCGAATCTGTACATTAAATATTTTTTTGGAAAATCTTATTGAAATAGACATTATAATCGATACAGAGGCCGAATCTATAGTTTTTAGAATTTTTGTGTCTGCCTGTCTGTCTGTCTGTTACCGCATCACGAGAAAACCACTGGACAGATTTTGATGAAATTTGGTATGGTGATAGCAGGCTATCCGGGTCAACATATAGGATACTTTTTACCGCGGGAAAATATCTCATTTCTGAGAAAAAAAAAATACAAAAATTGCATTGTAAGGTAATACTAATATGTATGTAAAACCTAAGAATTTGGTTTTTGATCATCTGAACGCGGGCGGAGCCGCGGGCAATGCTAGTATACATATAAGTCTAAATTTCATCTCTGTCCCAGTAAAAAATGCATTGTAAAACCATAACCTGTCATCGGTTTTTAACCTAGTTCAGATAGGTTCCAAATTAAATATCAAAGCTACTCTATCTGTTAATATCATGTATATTATGTAACTTTGTAAAAACTATATGAATAAACTAGCGACTCACCCTGGCTTCGCTCGGGTTCGTCCCTAGTTTGATTCTCCATACAAACTTTCATCCCCATTTTAACCCCCTTAAGATAATATCTTATGTCTTTTCCAGAGTCCCAAACTATCTTCTTACCAAATTTCATCTAAATCAGTCCAGTAGTTTCGGAGCCTATTTAATACAAACAAACAAACAATCAAATCCTCTTTATAATGTTTAGTATAGATTATTATTATAATTAAAAAATATATGATTATAAATACGCGAGTGCATGCGGGGGCAGCAGGTAGCAGCGCGAGAGCGCGAGGTGCTCGAGGCGGCGCAGCGCGGCGAGCGGGCGCAGCGCGCGCGCGGCCAGCAGCGCGCAGTCCGACGCGTCCAGCTCCAGCAGGCGCGGGCAGCGCGCCGCCAGCGTGGCCACCACTGTGGAATACACACAAATAATTATAAGGGACCATCCATTGCTCAGCGGAGAACTATTATTTTTCAATTTCAAAATTTTATATATAAATGAATTCGAATTACCAAAAAAACATTTTTGTAGGAAATTGAACGTTCTATAAAAAACGTCCCGTATTATTTTTCGATAAACTTACTCATTCAAAAGTTATTCAAAAGTTAAATTTATGTTATAATTAGTTTTCTTTTTCAAATTTCCGATAAAATAATTAGAATTATCAATTAAATGTTTTTTTTTTTCTTGGAAATTCTACTATATTCCATTAGCGTTGAGAAAATAGTGAGTCACCAAGTGCAACGGCAGGTAAAGGTGTATACAGAGTGGGATAAAAATTTAAATTAAATATATTTCATTATATTCAAATATATACAGTACTTTTAAAGTACTTAAAAACATTCTAAATACTCGTCTCTCTCCGCTATGAATTATTGATCTACTTTTATTCCTGTTAGTAAGGTGTTCATTTTTAAAATTTATTGTATGTATATATCGCACAAATGACACAAACCGTTTCTTACGAAAGTCTGCCTTCAAGTGGTGTTGTGAAATATGACTTTATAATTTTAAGCAACCTAATTGGTCGGTGGGCGTGGCCAGGCCGGTGGACACCGATGAGTCACTATTTTCTTAACGCGAATGAACTATAATTGTGATTCCCTATCAAAAAAGTCATGTATATATTAGGTATACAACTTTGCTTCCGCCGTTTTTTTTCAAAATTCAAATCTTTATTGTAAAAAAACTGATTATACATTTATGTTTCAAAGTATCGTCCATTGTTTTCCACTATTTTTGTCCACTTTTCTGGCGACAATCGGATCCTGTGTTGAAAAAAACTGGTCATCTTTTGAAGCGATCCATGAATCCATCCAATTTTGGACTTCTTCATAAGACTGAAAGTACTAGTCCGTCAGGCCGTGTGCCATGGACCGGAATAGGTGATTGTCAGAGGGAGCAAAGTCTGAAGAGTACGGCGGGTGGGGTAAGACTTCCTATTTCAACTTTTCTAAGTATGTTTTGACAACTTTTACAACACGAGGCCGAGCATTGTCATGTTGCAAAATTACTTTATCATGTCTTTGAAAGGATTGCGGCCGTTTTTCCTTTAAATGCTTGGCTGAAACGCATTAATTGCGTTCGGTAAAGATCTCCTGTGATTGTTTGAGACGGTTTTAACAGCTTATAAAATATTATAACGAGCTGATCCCACCAAACACAGAGCATGACCTTGAAGCCGTGAACATTCGGTTTAGCCATAATCGCAGAAGCTTGGCCGAGATATCCCCATGATTTTCGGCGCTTGGGGTTATCGTAAAAACCCATTTTTCGTTACCAGTCACAATGCGATGCAAAAATTGTTTCCGTTTTTGACTTTCAAGCAGAAGTTCACAAATACAGTATCGTTCAACATCTCTAGGCTTCAACTCGTATGGCACCCAATACCCTTGCTTCTGGATCATTTCCAGATTGTTTAGGCGTTTTGAAACTGTTTTTTGGCTCACTTGCAATGATGTTGCCAGCTCCTCTTGACTTTGACACGAGTCTTCATTGAGCAAATGCTTTAATTCCTCATCTTCAAAAACTTTTGATCTTCCACCGCTATGCCGGTTTTCTACGCAAAAATCACTGCTCTTGAAGCATTGAAACCACTCACAACATGTTCTTTTACTTATAGGAACTTCACCATAAGCGTCTGAGAGCATTCGGTGAGCCTCAGCCGCAGATTTTTTAATATTAAAAAAATAAATTAACACTTCCCGCAAATGACGACAATTAGGCTCATAAGTTGACATTTTTATTCGAAAATAACTATATGATGTAAACACAAATCAACTACTGTTGGTATCAGGTTATGTTCACAAGATACTAAAGAGTATTTTAACTCGTCCATAATGTATGTACTGAACGTTTAATTGTCGCTAGCGCCATATTTAAGAAAACGGCGGGAGCAAAGTTGTATACCTTAATATAAAAAAAATTTAACTAACTGTCATCTGTGAGAGCTCTCGCACCGCTTATGTTCAGTCTCTGCAGATTGGTGGGGAGGGACGTCACTAGCACTTGGAGTGAGGCCTCCGACAGGTTGCACCAGGAGATGTTCAGGGATTGGAGGCTGAAAGATCAAAAAAATGCGGGAAAAAATTACTAATTAAAAAATTGTAATCATTATAATAATAACTAGCTTGCTTAAACATACAAACTTTCATCCGCATTTTCACAACCTTAAGGGATGATTTGCGGGATAAAAATTATCCTATGTCCTTCCCAGGGTCTCAAACTATCTTCTAACCAAATTTCATCTAAATCGGTTCAATAGATCCAGAGATTACCCCCTACAACATCACAAACTTTACTCCTTTATAATATTAGTATAGATGTAATATTTCGTTTAAGAGAGGGAATATTAGTCATATTCTAGATCATAGTTTATCTGTATGCTAAATTGCATCCAAATCGATCCAGCTTTTTTAATGTATACACACGGACATCACTATTAGACAGCATAGGGAATATGCGTGTGATTTAAATAGATGCAATATAATTTTTTAATAATCTTTATATTGCTTTTGAATTAAACCCATATCAATATTTTTTAGTGTATTTTTTTGATTTCTTCATATTATTAAAAAATTTATAGTGCCAGTATTGCCAATTTAGCGAGTTTTGTTGCTAAAAGCGCTTAGTAAAAGTTGTCATTTTTAGCGGCAAAATCACTAAATTGGCAACACTGGCTGTTATTATACACTATGACGTCACGCCAAGCGCGCGAAAATGCGGACGTTTCAAGTGTCCGTACGAAATTTAAAAATATATTATACTAAAATTTTAGCTTCTTGGAGCTGGTTATATTTTTACGATTACATAATGATGTAAGTTATTGTATTAAAAAATAAAAAAAATGTATATTCCCTATTATCTAATAGTATGGATTATGGACACCACACTTTTTCTCAAGGTCATATCCTATATCATATAGGATATTATATTTATATTTTAAAAGGCCTTAAAACAAATTTAATCAAATATAAAGTTACCTGGTACAACCCTTCAATATGGCGGTCAGTCCTTCAGTGGTGATACCACGAGCCATTGCTAAGTTTAATGTTTCTAGATTTGAGCATTTGCCTGAAAAAATATAATAAAAAATACTTGTTGCATTCACATCACTATTTTATACTTATAACTAAATTAAAAATTAAAAAAAATCGACATGTAATTCGCCATTTTGTGGTGACGGCCATCTTGGACTTGAAATTTATCATAGTTTATAGTATTCTACTAATCAAGCCCTTTCATTTGATACCCATATTGAGGAAGTTGTGACAAAATATGTAATCCGCCATTTTGTGGCGGCTGCCGTCTTTGACCGTTTTTCATCAAATATAGTTAAGAACACTCTCGACTAATTCACCTTTCAAAAAAAAACACAATCAGAATCGGTTAATCCGTTCGGAAGCTACGATGACAGACACACACACACAAAGACACGTCAAACTTATAACACCCTGTCGTTTTTGCGACGGGAGTTAAAAATAAATATGTAAAATATGTTAGTACATTAACACACAACACCATCTAGTTCCATGGTAAGCTACGAGGCTTGTGTTGTGGATACCAGATAGTTGATACACTACACATATATAACTTTAAATATATACATATTATTCATATAAACACCTGTGACTTAAAACAAGTTTTTTTGTAATTTTTGTCTGTTTGTTCCGGCTAATCTCCGAAATGGCTGAACCGATTTTGACGGGACTTCCACTGGCAGATAGTTGTTGTTATAAGGAGTAACTTGACTATTTTATTTTAGAAAAAGAATTAGGGTTCCGCTCAAAAAAATAATTGGAAATAAAACAACATACCAAGTAAGTTCTGACTCAGTTCACATAATTTGACACTCTCCAAACTGAGTTTTTTGAGTCCTGAGCATCTGCTGAGCAAGTGGCAGAGTGTGTCTGAGGATATCGAGCACATGCTCAGATCTAGATACTGGATACGAGACTGTATTGGTGGTGTTGTGGGATTCCAATCACCTATCTGCAAAACAATATTAACAGATTAACTGACCACAAAATAGACACAATAGTTAAACAATCGAAATTTTCATACATATATGACTCATGGGAAATGGAAATGGGTATACATATTCACTTTAACATCCCACTGCTGTTCGTGGGCTTTCCTTTTTGAGTGTATATGTGTAAGCCTCTACCTATTTATAGTACGATCTGCTATTATTAAGGACTTTAACTGCCTCAGTAGTGGCTAGCAAGTAAGGCTGCACATCGAGAGGTGCTGAGTTCGAGTCCCGGGTAGGGTCAAGTTTAGTTATTGAGTCTTTCTGTTTATTAAGCCTCAGTAACAGCCCGGAGTTGGGAATTTGGCGGTGCGTCTTAACTGTTACCGGTCGTGTCTCGTGTTGTCACACCAGTGTGAGAGTGACAGGAATAGAGATTGCACAGGCACAAGTGTGCCTGCACTATAGTGTATAATATCTCCTACAGTTAGCTAGTCTCAATGAGATTTAATGCAGAGGCCGAAGTTGGTTGGTAGGTCATTATTATTATTAAAGAGTATTAAACGACCCTTGTGCCAAAAGAAGTATAATTCTAAAAAATAAATATTCACCTCAGAGCTGGCAAGTCTCACTATGACTGGTTTTCGGTCTAGAATTTTCCCTAACGCGTCTTTAGATAGTGTCTTATTGCCTAGGTCTAGCCTCTGCCAGAGGGTCTCGTCGCAGGCCAGTCTGTAAAACCTGAAAAAGAGAGTGATATATTGAGAGAAAGAGATGGATATATTGAGAGAAAGAGATATTTAGAAAACTTTACTGAATGTATTGATTTGGATGAAATTAAGTAAACACTCAAGACTATGAGCTGGAGTAACACATAGGTTTTTGTTAGTAAGAAATAATATTTCACAAAATGTCTGTATACATATTACATATATGGGACGCACCCGAGGCAAGGCCTACAGGATTTGATTCCCATGCTATTGTCAAAATATGCGGCATAAAGGGCCGTAGCCCGTATCTTTTGATAACGTTGTTTTGGAAGGTAGATTTTTTCACAACTCCAAGGGATTACAGACCTGAGTATTTGATATTAATTTCAACTTGATACCTCCACGCGTTCCTGAGATAAATAGTCTTGACAGACAGACGAGACAGTGATCCTATATGGGTTCCTTTTTCCTTTTAAGATAAGGAACCCTAATAACAACCAAAATAATATTTTCATTTTTACTATCTATGCAAAGGGATCTCCAAACTTAACACAAACAGACCAACAAACCGTTTACTAAGTAAGGCACAGTGTGCCAATGCTCTTTTAGGCAGCCAACGGAGCACCCCAAGTAGCACCTCGTCCGGCAGTAACGAGAACGAGTCTTCTGTTGTGGTTGGGACTATCAGGGTGCACTGCTCTTCGGTGATAGCTGGAAATTATAGATTTTATTATTAATAACTAAACAAAGTAATAGATACGTTTTAAATAGATAAAAATAGTTATAACAACTTTCGAGTACATTGTTTTGATGATCTCTTAAGGTTTACCCAACGTTAGACATGTAATCGTATGAAAATAGTTTTTTTGAAAAATACTGTTTAGGCTCAGCTATTTTGTGCAAAATATTTACAAAATAGCGAATCACCCTCGCCAAGCTCGTATCCGTCCCTAGTTATGTTTTAACGGTCAGTATAGTTTTCTCAGAGATGAGATGTTTTCCTGCAGTAAAAAGTATCTTATATGTTGACCCGGGTGGATAACCAGCTATTATCAAACCAAATTTTATCAAAATCTGTCCAGAGACCAGTTTTCTCGTGATGCGTTCCCAGACAGACAGACAAATTGGAAAGTCGCTGATTTCGTCCGTCTGTTTTCCCGCTTATTTTTCTAAACCACGCAACGGATTTTGATGCGGTTTTCACTAATAGACAGAGCGATAAACGAGGAAGGTTTGTATATGTAATCTATACATATAATAAAATTGTAACCGAGTCGAATCAGTAAATTAAATATTTTTTGAAAAAACTCATTTAAATAGTCATTATTATCGATACAAAGACCGAATCTATAGTTTTTAGAATTTTAGTCTGTTGGTCTGTCTCACCCTTGCTCCGCTCGGGTTCGTCCCTAGTATAGTGTAAATAAAATGCCCTATCACAAAACATACAGATGTCTCTAGTGTCGGAGCGACGCCGCGGGTCGGCGCAGGGCTTGTACTGCGCGCTGACGGACTGCGCCAGCGGGGTCTCTTCGTCTACCGGGTAGGTCTTCTCTGTTTGTTCCAATGGTTGCAGAGGTTTGGCTGAAAATACAATAATATTATTTAATTATATTCAGTCCTTTTTTGTCTCTTCTTAAGCTAACATAGGTTAAGTATTCTGTATTACTAACTCTTAGAATAGATAAATTGTATGTGTTTTCGTTTTAACTTCTTTTTTTTTGTGTAATTATGGGTTTTTGCCTGAATTAAAGATTTATTATTATTATTATTATATTATTTAACCCACTGCTGGGCGTGGGCCTCCCTTCAATACTCGGGGGATCAGGTCATAGTCCAACACGCTGGTCAAGTGCGGGCAGACAGCACGTTTTTCGAAAATTTGCTAGGTTCTCCCAGACATGCAGGTTTCCTCACGATGTTTTCCTTCACCGTAAGACAAGTGGTGATCATATTGGAAATGATTTGCACATGAAAATACCAGAGGTGCGAGACCCGGGATTTGAACCCGCTTCACTCGGTTTCCCAAGCGAGCGCGTTACCACTGGGCTACCCCACTACCTCAAACACATGCGTTGATATTTAATTCTTACATTTACGCGAATATTTGACATTTTAAATAAAACCTTTCAGATTTCTTCATAGATTTATATTGATTTTTGGTCTTTGTTGTTTTAAATGTCTCAAAGGTCAGTGCATATTATTTTTTTTAATTATTATTTTCAGATATAAGGTTTTTTTTTGTATTTTAAACCTAAAATCAAAATAAATCAGCCAAAAAATCCGAAAACATAAAAAAGCCAGTAGTTTTTATATAAGTATATTACTTACTTTTATCACAGCTTCTCGGGCTCTTTTTGGATGGACCTGGACTGCATTTGCGGTTTGACGGACTTATGCTAACTGTTATGTTGGGATTCACATTCTCTATATCATGTTTACGTTTCAGTGATGTTTTGTGCTGAAATAAATAAAAATATAGATAAATAAATAAATACGTTGGTACATTAACATACAGAACCATCTAGTTCATCGTAAGCTACGAGGCTCGTGTTATGGATACCGGATAGTTGATACATTACACATATATAACTTTAAATGTATGTATATAAGATATTATTTATATAAACAACCATGACTGGAGTACAAACATTCGTGCTCATCACACAAATGATTGCCCCTGGTTCACTACAAACTGAGCCAAACCTGTCGTCATAAATAATAAGGTAAATAAAAAAAGTATCTTTTTGGATTCTCAAGCGGTTTTATTTTGATGTTTAAAATGATTTACAGCACACAAGGATGGTCACGCAGGGGACTTAGATTTTTGACGCTTCAAAAGTTATTATATAGCTAGTTCACATAATACTTTCTTAGATTTACGCGAATATTTGACATTATAAATAAAACTATCATTTCGGATGTTTTTTGGGGATTTATTTTGATTTTTGGTTCCCGACGTTTCGAATGCTTTACAGCGCATATGGTCACGGGGTGTTTCCTGTCGGTGAGAAAATCCAAAAAGATAGTTTTATTTAAAATATAGCTAGCTATCATAGACGGTGTACAAAATACCATACCTGCCCTATATATACATATAACCATACATGCTTACATGTACATACATACATGCTTACATGTATATATACATATAACCATACATATTTGCCATTACGTGTTTACACTTACTTAATGTTTTTAATATAATTTGATTTAAAATTTTAAATATTCTCATAAGTGGCGCCGATGAGAAATCACACTCATATCTCACATAAAACTTTGATATTTTAAAACAATAAAAAAGAATATTTACATACCATAATATTTGTGGTTTCAAAAATGTTTTCACTGTCATCTGGCTCTAACAGACTTACACCCATTTCTTGTAATACCTTTAAATAATTTTTTTTTATTAATAATCATATATGACATTATAAACAGTTGTGGAGTACAAAATTAATATAAATCATTATTAATTAGAGTTTTAAAAAATAAATTATAGTTTAAAAAACTAAATAAAAAACACGTTTTAATTATGAACCGAACTAAAGGGTAAAAAATAATTTTTAGTATAACAAATAAGTGATTAACTAAGTACTTAATTATTTTAAGCTAACTCTACTTTTAGAAATCGTACTAATAAAATATTTATAGCAACTGATAACAAACAACCACAATTAGACTAGCCAATAGATATTATAATGCACAAGATTACGCAGACACAAGTGCACTTTCCATTCCTTTTACTCTCAAAGTCTCATGGGACGATACTTCGACACAACTGGTAAGAGTTAGGCGCAGGTCCAACGGCTTTACGTGCTCTCCTAGGCACGGGCATGGAACACCACTAACTACCCAACTGCGGTTACTGGGACTCTCTTGGCAAAAAGACTCAATAATTAAACTTGGCCCAGGACTCGTACCCAAGAACCCTGGATGTGCTAGCCACTACATTACAGATAGTGTATCATTAAGGATTATTTAAGCAGATTTTGATGATTGTATATAATAATTTATATTTAAAACAGTTGAGAGCAACTTTATTTCTAAATAATCTAGGTTGTTAAAATTGTGGGCTAAACAAAAATTATGTAAGTAGGACAAGCTGACCAATGCTTTTATAATATGATGATTTGTCATTAAAAAAATGTCCAAATATCTTTTAAGTGAAAATCTATGCTGGTTAATACAAAGATTCTATAATTTTATTGTATTCAGCCCATTTTTAAAATCCCACTGCTGCGCACGGGCCTTTCTTCAATATGAGAGAAATCAGGCCATAGCCCACCAAGATGGCCAAGTGCACATTGGAAAACTTCACATGTCTTTAGAAAACTTGCTAGGTTGTCTCAGACATGCAGGTTTCAATCATGTTGATAATGATTTGTATATGTAAACTATGAGATGTGAGACCCGGGATTTGAACATGCTTCACTCGGTTGTCCAAGAAAGTGCAATACCTCTGTCTTTACCACTGGGCTACCACTGCCTATTTTTATTAAAGAAAAGAATCTAGATATTTACAAATCTATAAGAAAATGCTCATTGAATAGAACTTTTAGTTAAAAATGAGTAAACATTAATAATAGTCAAAGTTAGTAATGATTTAAAGGCCATATAATATTGTTATTTGATATATCCAAGGGCTGATTTGGGTTGGTTTGGGTTATAGTTTTAGATAATGTTTCATTAAATAAATATGATACAATATTAAAATTGTCATGTCAATATTTTTCAATTTGGCCTAACTAAATACTTGTTGAAAAATAATATATTAAAATAATAACAGCATAGATTTGTCACAAAAGTGTTTGTTCATTGAATATTTCATGCGATGAACATAAAATTAAGAATTGCAAAATTATCTAATACTGTAAGCCTAAAAGATGTTGATGTGTTATTTTTGGAACTTATTTCTTCAAAGTATATGGATGTAATAATGTTCCAAATGCTTTAATCTGATAATAAAAAACGTTAATGATTTATCTATCATCAATCAAATATCATATAATTAACCGCAAATTAGTAGAAAATTAAGATTCACCGTTATGTTAAGCAAAAACAATAATTTCGATACTTTGAAAAATTCTTTAAGTATGCACTACATCTACAGACGAAACTATACCATTTTAACTGTGTAATATTTCATATTTATTTAATATTTATAGATAAATGATAAAGGTGTGGTCATTGAAAGAGCGGGAAGTGCATAAGAATACTCACTTCTACATCAGTCCTGCGATCCATTAAACTCCATGATTTTCGGGCAGAATTATCCAGGCGCATCCTCTTCCTAAAAACATCCACAATATCTTCATAAAATCACTATTTTAAGCTAAAATGTAAATTGACACGTTAAATGCATTTGGCGCCTTTTGACTTTGGCGCTTAAAATCAGCTGTCAGTAACAGGTGAGGTATATACACTGGGATTTAACTTAAAAATACTCGGCTTACCGAGGACTTTCGACCACATCGAGGACAGGAGAAGATTGTTTATCTTCCTCAGTTTTCATATTCATTGTACAATTAATAACTATTTTTTCCTGTTTAAATTTATGAGGTACGTCATCACAGTGCAGTATCCAGCAATTTGCCGAAATTAGAAAAAAAGAATAGATTGTAAATTAAAAGTAGAACATGATAGTGTTGCCATATATTAAAATAATTTCAAATTATAAAATCTCAAAGTTTTCTTTGTCTTTAGTGTAATATTTAACGTGTAATAAAAAAGGTTTCTATATGAAACAATTCTTCCTTTATTGTATATTTTAATAAAGATATATTAATTACAAACAGGATTAATAAATACATTATCCCAAGTTGTTTTAGAAAAATACTATCTCATTGTTATTGATATTCATTCTTTTTTGTATTAAAATCTCACTTTGTAAAATATTTAAAAATAAAATAATTAATAAACTAAGCTTTCATATAAAAGTAGGCTTTTAAAATATTTAATGTACTTTTGAGATTAAATGGCAGCACATTTTTTTTGTTTACAATTTTTTAACCAATCAGAAACTAGCATTATGACGTACTAAATTTCTATTGGCTAGAAAAATCGCCATACATGCTCGAAAGAGAAATGTGTGCGCGGTTTTCTGTCAATGGGAATCAAAACATAAAACAAAGGAGATCGTTCATCGTAGGAATTCGCTCGTCCTGATCTTGTTTTCGGTGAAAAACCTTTTAAAATAGTTTAAAATTAATTGAAACGCAAATATAATTGATTGAAATAAAAAAGTGCGGTGTGCTTTGTAAGGATGGCTGCACGAAAACTGAATACCATCGAAGACCTAAGTGGTAAGTTGTATATAAACAATGGATTCAATAACATAGCATGTCGATTGTCGACATATAATTTTCCTATTTTCTCTTGCAAATGTATACAATTCATTGATAATTCCATTTTGATCGTATTTACGTCATAAATCTTAAGTGTTAAAATATTGCGCAGTTAAAATATTGCAACAGCTTGTTGTTTTGTCCTTGAAACTTTAATATTTAACGTAGGCAATACATGTGGAAGCTTCGAGGTCAATGAAATCACGATGTAAACAATTGTATTTAAATTCTAATTGATCAAAACCAGTTTTACGAGCTAATACCGTTTTTCCTTTTGTTGCTGTAAGTGTAAGATGTTTCTTGTTTAGTGATTATCTTCTGTTTACGTATGAATCACATTTCACAATAACTTGTAATAATAATTCTAAGTATAACACTTTTCCGTATTTTTAAGAAAGAATAAGCGTTTAGCTACCAAAAAGCATGACAAAGTCTTAAAATTAAAAAAAAATCCTTAAGAATTTTTGAAATTGATAATAATTTTATTGATAAAGATAAAAAAATGATTATTATTATTTTCTACTCTAAATGTGTTTCTCATAAGATTAAGTTAAACTTATTAGAATCATTATTTTAATGAAACTATCCATTCATATTCCCTCCACGATCGCGGACACGCCGGCGTTACAGTTAACAATAGATTTCTTAGAATTTTAATTAATTTCTTAGAAGTTTACCTGGAGGTGTTAAAAGGATTGAAACACAAAAAGTATACTTTGATTCCTTCCAAATTCTACTTTTGCTAATAGTATACTTGTAAAAATCATATGTGTTTTAAAACTATAAATTATGTCAACACTACTACAATTACCATCATATTTTTTGAATAAGAATCAGGAAAAAAAGATTAAAAATAAGTTATTCTTCATAACTTATTTTTATTCTTTTTCTTTCATGTAGAAATTGTTTATCATCTGATTTTTTGTACATAATTTATATATCTGGTATATTTATATATCTAATTGGTTTACTTTTATATCTATACTATCTGCTCATCTTCACTTTACTCGGGTTCGCCTTTAGAAAAACAAATAAAAATTATCACACAGGAACTGAACATCTTTCTGGTATAAAAAGTAGCCTATGTGCTATTCCAGACTATAATCTATCTCTGTGCCAAATTTCATACAGATCCATTTAGATGTTCTGGCATAATTACTTATTGAGTCAAACTGGACTTTGTGTAATGTGTATTTAATATAAAAATATTTTACGAGAATAGTTAGTTTTTTTTAAGTATATTCAATACTTCTTGGTCACATTCTTATAGTTTACATTAATTGAAAACTAAATAGAAATAAAACAGTATTTTATATTTGCATTAGAGAATTGCCATTGCGTCGCTCGGGTTCGGCCCTAGGTACATTGTAAATAGATATAAATATTTATTAGCCAGCGTTAACCATATATTTTTTATTCGTGAATTTTTCTGATGTTTTAATAATTATTCTGCTATTCGAGGCGGAGACAAATTCAACAAATCAAAAACCATGAAAATCCAGCAGTTCTCAAGTTATAAGTGTTGTAAATTGTAACAAACCCGACTTTGTTTTATATGTACATAATACACACACATATATATATATATATATATATATATATATATATGTATACAAATATGTATATATGTATATGCGTATATATATATATGTATATATATATATAGACTACTTGTCAATAATGAATGAACAATAGCAGCAGCTTTTTGTTCATAACATATGTGTTATTGATACAGTATAACCAATTACCATATTATATGCTTAATAATATGTTTTGCTTGGAGTTTTACTTATTTTATTGTTTTTAAATGATATTGCTTATTAGTGACTCATCCTCTCTTCGCTCGGGTTCGTCCCTAGGTATGTTTTAACCCTTAGTATAGAATTGATAGACTATATATTACATGGTATACGTGATGATACGAGTATGTACATCTCGCGGCAAGGATGAAACGTGTATCCCTGTTGAAAAACTCCAACAGAATTCCATCAAAAGCGACAAAAGCCACATAGAAACCAATAAATATGTATTGGTTTCTATTATATATGTATATGTGACTTTTGTCGCTTTTGGTGGGATCCTATTGGAGTTTTTAAATAGGGATGTCTCGACTGTAATACTATATTCCTTCGTGAACTTGTTTTCAACTTTATAATTGACCTTTCTGCAGTCAGGTTTTTTATTTTTATAATACATATTTTATAAACAAACACCCATTCATAGAGACCGAATCTATAGTTTAGAGAATTTTTGTCTGACCGTCTGTCTGTTTGGGAACACATCACGAGTAAACCACTGGACAGATTTTGATGAAATTTGGTATGATTATAGCTGGTTATGCGGGTCAACATATAGGATAAATATAATAAGGGGAGCGAGGGTGAGTCGCTAGTTCTATTCATATATTATGTATGTTTTTCTCAAATTTTCTATTATGATTATGATCGTCCATAAGACATATTAATGTGTTATGAACAAATACTATAAGCTGGTCGTTGCAATGTGTTAGAGTACAGGTAATCTCATAAGCCCATTAGATATAAGCAGAATTGCTTTAGTAAGACTTAAGGCTCATGAAGCGCTTACTACTTGTTTTCTACACCAGCACTTACATGTGGATTGTGGTGTTGCTTGTTATTAATTTAATCTATAGATTTTTTTAGATTGAAAATCTATCTTCTATATATTATATATTTATACTAGGGACTCACCCTCGCTTCGCTCGGGTTCGTCCCTAGCTTGCTTCCCATTACAAACGTTTACCCCCTTAAGGGATGATTTCCAGGATAAAACGTATCCTATGTCTCAAACTATCTTCTTACCAAATTTCATCTAAATGGGTTCAGTAGATCCAGAGATTACCCAGTACAACGTCACAAACTTTACCTCTTTATAATCTATACTTATTATAAAAATAAGTCCCCCGGCCGCGTCTTTCTGTCCTCCTGTCTGTCCTCCTGTCTGTCTGTACGCGATAAACTCGAAAACTACTGAACGGATTTTTATACGGTTTTCAACAATAGAAAGAGTAATTCTTGAGGAAGGTTTAGGTATATAATTTATTATGCTTTTATGTAAATTAGCTGAAATACGGCGACAAATGTTGAAGAGGTCGCAAAAAATCTCGCCAAATGGGAACTTTCCACGCGAACGCCGCGTAAACTAGCAAAGATACAGTTAAGTAATGTACTAGAGAATTCAAAATCTATAAAAATGCTACAAAAAAGTCCGCGATAGCATATCTCTATCTCTTACGGTTGACTTACAATAACCACTTTTATGTTAACATTTTTAATTAAAAACATTACGTTATTTTCAAAGTTATTTTCTTTAGTTCGGTATTAATCCTTATCCAAATGAATATTTTAGTTAGCTTAGTCATTTAATGCAGATTAAAATTGCTCTTTACACTAAATCAATCAGATGAATAGTTTTTGAGATATCGTTGTTAGAAGTAATTAGTAGCGAAACATTTTTAATGCTTGGCGAGCATTGAGATGCCTACGGCGAGTCCATCCCCTCTGCCCCGCATCGCTCGACCGCCTGCTCAAGCTATATAAACCGGGCGATGTAGCGCGCGATCCTAGGATACTTTTTACCGCGGGAAAATATCTTATTTCTGAGGAAAAATACAAAAACTGCAATGTAAGAGTATACTAATATGTAACACCTAAGAATTTAGTTTTTGGTCATCTGAACGCGGGCGGAGCCGCGGGCAATGCTAGTATTAGTATAGATAAAGGTATAGGTTTTTATTTAAGCGGTACCCTAATTCTTTGTCTAAAATAAAAGTAGCCGAAATTATTCCTTATAACATTAGCTATCTGCCAGTGAAAGTCTCGTCAAAATCAGTCCAGCCGTTTCGGAGATTAGCCGGAACAGACAGACAAAAATTTCAATTTTTTTTAATATTTTGTTTTTTATAAGTACTATATAAAATTTCAAATGCATTTAGTAAAACGTTGTTATTTTCACATTACATACAGACATTTGAATTTTATTTATGTGTGTGTATAGAAGAGATGAGATCTGATTTCATAATAATTTATTTTTTGGCCCGCATTCTTTTAGTGAAACATAAAATTTTATTACTACATAAAATAACACATGTTTTATGTATATTGATGTTTTTAAAATTAGCATAAGGACTCGCACCGCCTGATTCTCAGCTCTT